GCCGCGGGGAGCGGCCCCTGCGGCCTAAGGGGCAGTGTCCCTTTGGTCCCCACGCCTCAGCCTTCTCGGGACTGTGCCCATACCCCAGTCCGAAAGCAATCCTAGATGTCTTTTTCTTTTTGGAATAAGTGAGTGGGAACCCCGTACAAGCTGGTGATGCTGGGGGCCGGCGGAGTGGGCAAGAGCGGTAGGTGCGACCTCCCCATGCATGGGAGGAAGGGTGGAGAGCCGGCGACCTGCGCCCGCCCAGGTGGGGTGCTGCTAGTACGGAGAGGACTCTAACGTCCATTTCTTGTTCTGAAGCCATGACCATGCAGTTCATCAGCCACCGATTCCCGGAAGACCACGACCCCACCATCGGTAAGCCTTCCAAGTGCTGAACATCCCGAGAGAGTATCTGGGAATGTCCATTTTAAAAAACTGCTTCTAACTATTACATTTTGAGTTTCCTTGGAGTTTCATTCAGATTTATTTAGAAATGAATATCATCAGTTGGTAAACAGCTGAAGATTTTTCATGTATATAAGTCATCTTTAATGCCTGTTTTGTGTTGAACCCTAATGAGACAACTGGTTTTTTTGGTGGCTGGTTTGTTTTATTGTCATTAAAGGAAAGGCCTAAAGGCCACTTAATGAAGCCTTTTCTTGCTGTCACTTCTCTAAGGGTCTGACTGGAGACTGACTCTGGAACTGTGAGTCAGCTGGTTTGAACTTCCACAAAAGGAAGCAGAAAAACAAGTAGAGCCAGCCTGCTGAGCTCTGTAGCCCGGACTGCAGGACTGCAGAGCCACCATCCTGCTGCAGCCCTCGATCCTGCTGCAGCCCTCGCTTCCTTTCCTACGCCCGACCTCACTGTACAATAATGGCTTTCTTTTTAAAAAAGAATGATTTTTATTTAACTTTACTTACTATTATTATTTAATTTAGCCAGAGAGAGGGGGAAAGTGAGAAGGCAAGCTGTGAGGTCTGGGACTCTAACCACAGTTGGCCATGTGGGATCCAGTGCCTTTAACCACCATGCCACCTGCTGGCCTCTTTCACAGTCCTCAGTTGTGTTGCTGGCAGAATGCTAATAGAGTAAAAAAGTCATTTGATTTGCTTTTCCTTTTTATATATGTATATTTTTTAATTCCTTTTTTTTTTTTTTTTTGCCATAGGGCGTGTGCACTCGCCAGACAGACAGACAGAGACAAAGAGACAGAAAGCAAGAAATCAGCCCCCCCCAGGGGAGATGGCCACACCACAATCCTTTCTCCTCCATTCTCCTCTTGGGATCTTGGGCACCCACGCACATGTGCCCGGTGTGAATTTTAAGCCACCGGGTCCGGGACTCGAACCACAGTCAACTACATGGGAGTCCAGTGACACAGCCATTAAGCTAACTGCTAGTCCCTCCTTTTTATATTTTTAACTGCTGTCCTCTCCAAAGATCATTACTGTTATTCCTAAAGTATAAGGAAGCGGCTTTGGTTGTAAAGAGTTATGTCCTTGTGTTTGAGAAAAATAGGGGTGGGCTTGTAGCACAGTGGTTAAGCTCTGCACATAGAATGCTGAATTCCTGGGGCAGCAGGTGGCATGGTGGCTAAGGTGCTGGGCTCCCATGTGGCTGACACAGTTCGAGTCTCAGACCCAGCAGCTTTCGTGTGCGTGTGTGCCTAATATCCCAGGAGGAAAATGAGGAGAAGGGATTGCAGCGTGGTCATTTCTCCCTGGTTGGGTGGGGGCGATTTCTCACTTTCCCTCTCTGTCTCTCTCTGGTGAGCCGTATGGCCAATTTCAATTTGAATTCCGTCCCTGGAGGATTGAAAAAGACCCCACATGCATGTGCATGTGTGTCCAAAGTCCTGAAGGGATGGAGAGATGGAGGAAAAGGAATTAAGTTGGGAGTACACCCCATGGCGGGTGCATTCTCTTTCTTTCTGTCTTTCTCTTCTGTGAGCACACGTGCCTTCTGACAAGAAAACACATTTTTTTTTTCTATTAAGAAAAATGAGAGTGGGGCTGGAGAGGGTGCGGGAAGTTTGCCGTACTACTGTTATTTTCAGAAAGTGACATACTTTGGGCCATGATCGTAGGTGTGTAGGAAGGATGTCCAGTGGGCCAGACCTCTGCCGCCCTCCTCCACAAAGCTGGTGAATGTTCTGGGGTAGGCCAGGGTTGGGTGCGGACACTTCGTAGTAGATGCTTCTGGGTGTCAGGAAACAGAGCGGGTCCCTGCTTTGTTCCCGGACCGTATCAAAGTTAGAACCGTGTTCAGGTTCCAGACTACAGTGGGAGTTGTAGGAGTAAACCCACTTTAGGGTTTAGGATAATTTACTTGAGAACTCCCAAAATATTTTTTTCCTGCCTTTCTTTTCTCTTTCTTTCTTTCCTTTTCTTTTTGAAATGCCAGAAGGCATTGTGCATGGGCCAGAGACAGAGAGGAAGCACGCCCAGCTCAGTGGGCGCTGACCACACGCAGTCACCTTCCCTCCATTCCTTCTTCCCGTCCAGATCCTAGGCATGTGGGCACATAAACCCCGTATATTTTCCAAGCCACCAGGGTCAGCATTCCACCCGCAGCCACCATGTTTATCCAGTTCATTCCGGTATGGCGCTTAATCTCGTGCTACGGGCTGGCCTGCTTTCTCCTGTCTTTAAAGTCAACTCACTTCCCCATGTAAGAGCTACTGTCTTTCATTTTTTAAAAAAATTATTTAATTTTATTTACTTATTTATGTATTTATTTATTTTAATTTGACCAGAGAGAGAGGGAAAGTGAGAAAGCAAGTCACCAGGTCCAGGACTTGAACCATGGTCAGGCATATGGGAGTGTCTGGCTCCTTAACCACCACACCACTTGCTGGTCCCCTACTGTCTTTCCTTTAAAAAAAAAAAAAGTTATTTTATTTAACGTCATTCAAATTTGACCAGAGAGGAACAGAGCAAGAGTGGGAGGGAGTGAGAAAGCAAGCCTCCAGGGCCAGGACTGTGGCCAGCCATGTGGGAGTCCGGGGACCCCCATTCAGCACAACACCCGCTGGCCCCAAGGGTTACTTTTCAATCAGTTTTTTCTTTTCCCAATAAGTTACTCTCCTGGCAATATGATGTGATTCAGCCGCAAATCCTTATGTCTGTTGAATTCCTATTTTGTGTCAAGCACTGCGGTGGGCCTTGGGGTACAGTGATAAGCAGAAGTGTGTGGTGTCTCAAGGAGCTTACGATGTAGTACATTTTGTTTCAGACTTTGGCTTCAGACTCTAGGAAGAAAAACTGTACATTGTAAACAGGACAAATCTAAGTGTGAAAGTATGTGCGTGTGTGTACCGGGGGACTTCCAAAAGTTCATGAAAAACTAAATTAAAAACGAATTTATTGTGGTATAAGCATTTTTGAAATCTATGCATTTTTTTAAAGAATTAGTTTTTCGATTTAATTTTATTTATTCATTCATTTATTTTAATATGATGACCAGACACACACACACACACACACACACACACACACACACACGCACACTCTGCTTGTGTAGCAGAGAGAAAGAGAGAGAGAGTGTGTGAAAGCAAGCCACCAGGTCCAGGACTTGAACCTTTGGCAGCCATGTGGGAGTGTCCAGCACCTTAACCACCATGCCACCTGCTGGTCCCATCTGTGCATTTTTTTATAATGTATATTTTCCATGACCTTTTTTAAGACTCACCCACATATTTTTATGTTTACACATAAACATTTTATGTATATGAAACTGAAATCAAAATAGTATGAAATTGTATTTAATTCACTACATATAGCACACAATGGTATTCTCTATTTTTATTTAAGATTTTGCCTGTATATTTGATTTTTTTTTTAAGAATTATTTTATTTAACTTTATTTTTTTTTTTTTTCAGTAAGAACAGAGAGAGAGAGAGAGAGAGAGGGAAAGTGAAAAAGCAAGCCACCAGATCCAGGACTTGAACCATGATCAGCCATGTGGGAGTCCAGTGCCTTTAACCACCATGCCACCTCTCAGCTCCATTGTCTGTGTATTTTAATGCTGGTCTGTCCTAATACATTATGTTGATTTCACAACTCATTAACGCGACCTGTCATTTGAGAAATTTATCTTTGAGGGAGAGTCAAAAACAGGAATTCAGGAAAAAATATTAAAAGGAAATATATTTGGGCCAGCAGGTGGTGCGGAAATATATTAGGATGAAGGCAGCATTTGTTTCTGAGACAGCTATTGAGAGGGGTTGTTCTCTTTTTAACTTTTCTGGATTTTCCAAGGTTGTTATGATAATGATCATCAAAGAAATTTGCTTTGATAAAGGAGAAGTTATGACAGTGTGGATATTCAGAAAATAATAAAGCTAGTTATGATTTTTTCTTTTTTATAATATCAAAATAGGAGGAACTATAGCATATGTTAAGTGCATAGGCTTTTTTTTTTTTAAATTGTCAGCGGATGTGTGTGCTTGCCAGAGAGAGAAGCAACACTCCCCATTGGGGCGTGGTCACACTGCAATCCATTCTCCTCCATGCCTCTGTCCCATGAGGATTCGGGGGACACACACACACACACACACACACACACACACCCATTATGTTTTTCAAGCTGCTAGAACCCAGATTCAAACTACAGTTGGCCAAGTGAGATCTGGCTCCTTCAGCCACTGAGCTCTGGGGCCAGCCTAAGTTTAATTTTATCTGGGGGCTGGCAGGTGACGTGGTGGTTAAGGCGCTGGACTCCTCCATGTCCGACTATGTTCTGAGTCCCAGACCTGGTGGCTTTCTCTCTCTCTCTCTCTCTCTCTTTTTTTTCTCTCTCTCTCTCTCTGTTTCTCCCTGGTCAAATCGAAGAACAATAATAATAATAATAAAATTAAATGAATAATTACCAAAAACCTTTTTTTTCTCTCTCTGTAAAATAGAGGTGATAATACCTACTACATTGGATAATTGTGACTGTTAAACAAGTTGATGTATTGGGTTATCAGAAAAGTAATGATGCAGAAAAATACCTCATGACTTTTCCAACAACCTAATATATAAATTACTTAGTCTAATACCTGGCATGTAATAACCATTTAATAAATGGTAATGGTATTTTTCTGAGTTAACTTTTTTTTTTAAAAGACATTCTTGCAAAATCCTTTATAGCTTAGAATTATAGCTGAAGTCTTATAAACTTAGGAGGTTAGTAAACGTGGAAGAAAACAAGTAACCTTATTCGAAGGCCCGGTTTACATAGCTCAATAAACTTACCATGCTTCCTGAGGACGTGTGGAAACTCCTCCTCCATGAAGTGCATTTTAAAATATTTTTCCCTGCATTTATGGGGTTATAGTACAAGTACACATTTCTTCTCTCCTGTAGAAGATGCTTATAAAATCCGGATTCGTATCGACGATGAGCCTGCCAATCTGGACATTTTGGATACAGCTGGACAGGTATTACGTCCCAGCATGGCTAAGGGAGGGCTGTGTCACTCTCGGTAAGGGAGGGGAGAGCGTCCGCAGAGAAGGGCACTAGTTTCTCTCTTTTAATTTTTCACGCACTCTGCCTCAGGATAGCAGGTAATCGACCTAACTGTTCTTTAACCTGAAGTGAATAGCGAATGTGTGTGGTTCTCGCGTGCATCGATACCTGAGCGATCCTTCTTCCTCTCTAGGCCGAGTTTACAGCCATGAGGGATCAGTACATGAGGGCAGGAGAAGGATTTATTATCTGTTATTCCATCACGGACCGTCGAAGCTTCCATGAAGTTCGAGAGTTTAAGCAGCTTATTTACCGAGTTCGACGTACCGACGATACACCTGTGGTTCTTGTGGGAAACAAGTCCGACCTAAAACAGCTAAGACAGGTGAGGGTAGAGAAGAAAGCGCTCTCTGATCTTTTGGGATGAGTCATCTTTGTTTCTTGGTTTACAGATTCTGTTGCCTTAAGTTAGAAAATCAAAACTGACTTTTCTCTAACCTTGAGTATTTTCCTATATCTACGAATTTGTTATTCTTTTGGATAAAATCTGGACCTTAGGAATCAGTTAATAGGACAGGAGTCACAGGATTGTAATCAGATGACATACAGAACACCCATCGGGCCAGTCCATGCCTGGTGGTTAAGGCAGCCAGGCCCCACATAGCCACCCGCACAGTTGAGTCCGGACCCGGCAGCTCGAGAAACACGTGGGGCACATGTGCGTGTGTGCCTAAAATCCTGAAAGGAGGAAAAGATAGAGAAGGGATTGCAGTGTGACCAGTCCCCAGGGAATGCTTTCTCCTCTCCCTCTGTGTGTGTTTGTATGTGTGTGTGTGTGTCTGTCTGTCTGTCTGTCTCTGGAGAGTACATATACCCTCTAGGAAAAAAAAAGAAAGAAAGAACACCCATTAAGTGAAGGGTTCTAGAATGTTCATTTTGTAAAATCTCAGAAATAATTATGTTACAACAGGAAGAAGTTAGGTCAGACTTTCAAGGTCTACTTCCTTATGGTGAGGTTTGATATTAGAAAGGGGAGATTAAGAGAAATTGAGGGGTATTTTAGAATAAGTTAGCAGTGATGTTTAAATATTTTTTTCCTTTCTTAGAATGAAAAATAGGAAGGAAATTAAATGGAATATTTGAAAATTATTCTCAATTCTTTAAAGTTATCTCAAGGGACTAGAGATGGCGTAATGGCTATGTCGCTGGACTCCCATGTAGTCAACCACGGTTCGAGTCCCAGACCCAGTGGCTTAAACTCACGCTGGGTGTGTGTGCATGTGTGCCAAAGATCCCGAGAAGAGAATGGAGAAGGGATTGCAGTGTAGCCATTCTCCCTGGGGGGGGGATTTCTCATTTTCTGTCTCTCTGTCTCTCTCTCTCTCTGGCGAGTACATGCACCCTATAACAAAAACCTCTCCAAAAACAAGTTATTTCAGAAATAGATTAGAAGTGGGGCCAGCAGATGATACAGTGGTTATAGCGTTGGACTCTCACACGGCCAACCATGGTTCGAATCTTGGACCCAGTGGCTTGAAACACATGCCAAGTACATGTATATTCATACCCAGGATCCTGAGAGAAGGGATTGAGGCATGGCCATACCCCTAAGGGAATGATTTCTCAATTTCCCTCTTACTGTCTCTGTCTCCTTCTCTCTGGCAAGCACACATGCCCTAAGGCAAAAACCTCTAGGTTTAAAAAAAATAGATTAGAGGGACCCACCCCATGGCATATCAGTTAATGTTATGTATGGAATGCCAGATCCCGCATGGCCAACTGTGGTTCACATACGGGTGGCTTTGGAAACATTCTGGGTGTATGTGTGCTTACATGTGATCAAGATCCTGTTGGAATGGAGTAATGGAGGAAAAGAGATTGCAGTGTAACCACGCCCCGTTGGGGGGGTGTTTACTCTCTCTCTCTGTGAGTACATGTATCCACTGGCAGTTAAAAAATGACAAGATTAGAAATAGAATTGCGTTGAGGGCAGGAGAAACCTTAAAAATCGTGTAATCCAGCCTCCCACAATTACAAAAATCATTGCACTGAATACCTCCAGAGTCGGAGCATTCTCTCCCCTGTTGAAGTAACCCATGCGCTTTTGGAAAGTTGTGATTGCCCGCTGTTGCCAGTATCAGTTTACTCACGGTTTTGCCTTTAAAGGTCACCAAGGAAGAAGGGTCAGCTCTGGCCCGAGAGTTCAGCTGTCCCTTTTTTGAGACATCCGCTGCATACCGCTACTACATCGATGACGTTTTCCACGCCCTCGTACGGGAGATCCGGAGAAAGGAAAAGGAGGCAGTGCTGGCCATGGAAAAGAAATCTAAGCCCAAAAACAGTGTATGGAAGAGGCTCAAATCACCATTCCGGAGGAAGAAAGATTCAGTAACTTGAAGGGGAAACGGGAAGCGTTTATCTGTGAACTGCGCTGCTTCATCAGAGCAGTCCAGTAAGCTGCAGTACCGAGCACGGTGCTCGCTCTTTCTCCTGTAATGACCGTTCTGCTAAAGTAACTGATGGGGGACATGCCTACTAGGAGATTTCGCTGATGTGGTATTTGAAGTGCTGTCTGTTAATTCTGATTTCTTAACCTGGTGGGACACTGTCTGCTTTTAAATCGTCACATTAGAATCTGATCTACCAATGTTTCGGTCCTGTTGCTGACATTAATGAATTCATGTAAATTATTTATATCCGGGAGACGATGTATACCATGTGTGTTCAACTAGGTTCACAAGAGAATTTTTTTTTTTTTTTGCCGTGTACTCTACAATCTCTCTCAACTTCAGTTTTCTAGGACTGTCCCCAGAAAGGACTCCAGTCTCTTCCGTTGACACTGCTTTTTGGAGGCAGAAGAAGACTCATACGGGGACATCCGCATGAAGAGATCAGCGCTAAAGTTCCGCAGGGAGCTGCCGAGCTGACTTCTGCGGCAGTTACAGGAGGATGACATTTGGGGATATCAGGCCATATGTTTGCAAGGCCATAATAGGCAGGATGGTAGCCTTATTCCCGGGGTGAGCTGGCCTTCTCAGAAGGGCTCATTAGGCTCCAGCGCGCCGGGATGGGGGGACAGACACAGGCGTGTGGAACGCAGTTAAGATGTCTCCTAGGACAGTCACTTGCTCTTCCTCATACGCGATGGCCCTTCCTCACCTTCAGAGGTAAACACTCGGAAACCATTTCTAGATCGCCAGACTCAGTTCTCCTGAATCGTTGGCTGGGACAGCCATTGCCTTGTACAGGTTACTTTCGGCACACGCTAACACACTTAGTTCATTGCTTCTTAGTGCTTTCGCTTCCCTCTCGTGTGCTCTTCAGAAGAACCAGGCCTGGCAGGTTGTTTTTAGGCCCTTCATCAGAGTGAGTGCATTTTCAATATGGAAGAGACATGAGGAGTTGGAGTAAAATTGTGTATGTGCCTCTTCGGTGTTGACAGTCACTCACCTCGGTGCTCTGAGGAAGCCCATGGTATTTCTATTTAATGTGTCCATCTTGAAGCTTTAAAATTCACAAATGTTCAGTCTCTCATCTAAAGGTTCCTTTATGAGGACTTGGCTAAGTTCACCTCAGGGTCATCTGAGCCTTAACGAAGTTTAACCTAAGAGAATACCACTTCGCTCCTGTGCATAGGTGAAAAACTGTAGCCCTAAGAAGAAACAGCTTTAAATATTGCTCATAAAGTCTCTGAGGAGCGGGATTATTTTGGTATCTGAACTTGTTACATATGGAGAGTAAATGCAAAGTGCTAAAAGTAATTCATCATGGATTGAATATTAAATGTTACTAAAGCAGTTTTTGTGTCCATTTTAAAATCTTAAGAAGATGACTTTTGTGCAGTATATCTTAGAAAGTAAATAGCAGGGACCAACAGTTGATGTAATGGCTATGTCGCTGGACTCCCACATAGTCTACTGCGGGTCAAGTCCTGGACCTGGTGGCTTCAACTCACACTAGGTGCATGTGTGTGCGTGCCCAAGATCCCGAGAGGAGAATGGAGGAGAAGGGATTGTGGCATAGCCATCCCTCCTGGGGGTGATTTCTCGCTTTCTGTCTCTCTGCCTCTCTCTGTCTTTCTGGCAAGCGCACATGCCCAATAGCAAAAACCTCTCAAAAAAAAAAAAAAGGGAAGGAAGGAAGACAGAAATATTTATACATCTCTTCTGTGTACTAAACACTCTTGATTTTTAGGTTTTTGCCATAAGGCATGTGTGCTACCAGAGCGAGGCGGAATGAGGGAAAATGGGAAATTGCTCCATGGGGGGATGGCCATGCCGCAGTCCCTTCTCCATTCTCCTCGTGGGGTTTTGGGAATGCCTGCACATGTGCCCAGCATGATTTTTAGCCACCGGGTCCGGGACTCAAACTGCGGTCGACTACGTGGGAGTCCAGCGACATAGCCATTACGCTAACTGCTGGTCCCTGCCCAGCATGATTTTTCAAGTCACTGGATCCAGAACTCAAATTGTGGTTGGCTATGTGGGTATCCAGTGCCTGAACCATCATACCACCTGCTGGTCCCTAAGCACTGTTTTTGCAGTGTGAATATTCAGTGAATATAAAATATCCCTGTTCTGGAATTTAGATAAAATTTACATACAAAACTAGAGCTTTTTTTTTTTTTTTTTTCTTTTAGTTTTGCTGTAGAGGATATGTACTTGCCAGACAGACAGAGAGAGACAGAGAGACAGAAAGCGAGAAATCACCCCCCAGGGGGGGATGGCCACGCCACAATCCCTTCTCCTCCATTCTCCTCTTGGGATTACATTCCCGGTGTATGTGTGTGTGTGTGTGTGTGTGTGTGTGTGTGTGTTTTCTTTTTTTGGAGAGTTTTTTGCTATAGGGCACGTGCACTTGCCAGAAAGACAGAAAGTGAGAAATCACCCCCCCAGGGGGGATGGCCACGCTGCAATCTCTTCTTCATTCTCCTCTCGGGGTCTTGGGCAGGCATGCACATGCACCCCGTGTGAGTTTAAGCCACCGGGTCCAGGACTCGAACCTCAGTCAACTACATGGGAGTCCAGTGACATAGCCATTGTACTAACTGCTGGTCCCCCGGTGTGTTTTTCAAACCACCAGGTCTGTAACTAAACCACACAGTCATCCATGTGGGATCCAACTGCCTTAACCACCATGCCATCAGTTGGCCCTAGAGAGCATTCTCAAATTGTAGGTTATGTACTTCAAACTGACAGTGTTACAGAAATTCAGACAAGGGAGAAATTAGTATGGCCCATGGCCGATATTAGGAGCCTTGAAGAGCTATAATTTCTGACTTTTTTCTCATTACTAGTTCTTTGTTTTTAGCTTTTTTTTTTTACGGTGCATGCACTTGCCAGAGAGAAAAACATTCCAGTCGTGTGTATGTGTGCCCGGATCCCACAGGAAGGAAAAATGGAGGAACATGGCGAGACCATGCCCCACAGGAGTGATTTCTCACTGTCTCCTCTTTCTCTGCTGAGCACGGTGTCCTGTGGCAGAATTCGTTTTTTAAAGGATTATTTGTTGGTGCCGGCAGGTAGTGTGGTAGTTAAGGTGCTGGACAGTCCCACATGGCTGACCATGGCTCGAGTCCCAGACCTGATGGCTTGCTTTCTCTGTCCCATCCCCATCTCTCTCTGATCAAATGAAAATAAATGAAGAAATACATTTTAAAAATTTAAATAAATAATTCTAAAAAATTATTTATTTAATTTTATTTATAACCATCATTATTTTTTAAATTTGCCGTAAGGCATATGTGCTCACCAGAGAGAGATGAGAGAGAATGTGAGAAAGAAAGAGATAGAGAGAGAGATAGAGATAGAGAGAGAGAGAGAGAGAGATATCTACCATATGGGAGTCCGGCACCCCAACCACCATGCCACTTGCTGGCCCCCAATTTTTTTTTTAAAGAATTATTTAATGGGACCAGCAGTTAGCGTAATGGCTATGTTGCTGGACTCCCATGTAGTCGACCGCAGTTTGAATCCTAGACACGGTGGCTTAAACTCACGCCGGGCGCGTGTACGTGCGTGCCCAAGATCCCAAGAGGAGAACGGAGGAGAAGGGATTGAGGCATGGCCATCCCTCCTGGGGAGTGATTTCTCGCTTTCTGTCTCTCTATCTCTCTCTGTCTTGCGATCCCCCCACCCCCACCCCATAGTGTTGGGCCTGATGTGAGGTGAGGCAAGGTGGGAGGAGAGTGCCACTCCTGGAAGCCCTTCTTGAGTGCCTGGACACCGATCCATGGAACCTTTTTCCCCCCAGATTGTTCTTTTTGAGATTCACCTTCGGGGGTTGCATGTGGCATGGTGGTAAAGGTGCTGGACTCCTATATGGCTGACCGTGGTTTGAGTCCTGGACCTGGAGACTTGCTTTCTCATTCGCTTTCTCTCTCTGTGTGTCTCTGGTCAAACTGAAAAATGATAATAAATAAAATTAAATAAGTAATTTTTAAAAAGAGAGAGAGAGGACCAGCAGTTTGCATAATGGCTATGTCGCTGGACTCCCATGTAGTCGACTGCAGTTCAAGTCCCAGACCCAGTGGCTTAAAACTCATGTTGGTCGTGTGTGCGCGCATGCCCAAGATCTGGAGAGGAGAATGGAAAAGGGATTGCAGTGTGGTCATCCCCCCAGGGGGGGAGCAATTTCTCGTTTTCTCTCTCTCTGTCTCTGTCTTTCTGGTAAGCACACACCCTATAGCAAAAAAAAACATCTCCAGAAAAAGAGAGTTTTGTTATAGGGCATGTGTTCTTGCCAGAGAGACAGAAAGCAAGAAATCAGCCACCACAGGGGATGGCCACGCCATAATCCCTTCCCCTCCACTCTCCTCAGGACTTTGGGCATGCACACACAGGTGCCCAGCATGGGTTTCTGTATTTTGGGTTTTTTTAGCATTTAACTTTTTAAAAGAATTATTTATTTAATTTTATATACTCATTTATTATTATTTTCTTTAATTTGACTGAGAGAGACATAGAGTGGGAAAGTGAGAAAGCAAGCTACCAATTCTGGGACTTGAACCATGGTCAGCCATGTGGGAATGTCCAGTGCCTTACCACCACCACACCACCTGCTGATCCCTTAATTTAATTTTTGTTTATTTGTTTGTTTGTTTTTTGAGAGGTTTTTGCTATAGGGCGTTTGCGCTTGCCAGAAAGACAAAGATAGACAGAGAGACAGAAAGTGAGAAATCACCACCCGGGGGGATGGCCACGCCACAATCCCTTCTCCTCCATTCTC